ATTTTGTTGAATTTTTAAACGAATACAACTCTTGTTATGTAGATACTTTTTCCCTCTTAGTTATAGCGGGAATTTCATTCTCTCACTCACTCCTACTTTGCTCTTCCTCTTCCCTTATCCTAATCCCACTACAGATTGATACGGTAATGAGTTAAATTGGGTGTGACTTATGTAACCAAGTTCTTATAAAATGAAAAAAGAAAAAAATGGAAAGATAATGATATTCGTAAACACATATTTGCGTGATAAACTCAATGTGCGATAACTAATTTGACTATTGATTTGCATTGTCTCATATTCTTATTTCGAATTAATCACCATGCTACATAGATAAGGAAAGATAACCATTTGCCATATTGTATGCTAGTTATAGTATGAAATTATTTTACGCGTAGGATAAGTTTATGATGTAAAACTTTCGGTAATTCTGATGTAAATCTACCGTATCAGTAATATTGTTTCAATTCTTATACAATACAATGGACATATTACCTATTTGTTGCGATCAATAATGTTATCTTTCGTTCGGATAAAGAACATTTCAATTGAATTCGAACTACCGAATCATAAATAAAGCGCCCATTCTTCACACCAAAGTCTGGAAACGGTAAACGTTAAAAATATATATTAGTTGAGATGGTGGAGAAGATCTGTAGCTCAGGTGGATGATTTTGGTGGAGTTTTGTCCAGCTCAGAGAACAAAACTCCACCAAAATATATATATTAGTGTTTGAATCAACTACTATAAACTTAAGGTTGACTACTTGATAAAGCATAGAGACCCAGTAATTCGAATTATTGTTTATTCGTAGTCTCCAAAAATAAATAAAACATATGACAATTGCGAATTTACAAACAAATGAATAGATATGCCAGTTTACTTGATTAGAAACAGTTTTAATCCTGATGTTAAAGTATGGTTCTATAAACGTCTCGAGTCACGATCTGTTTAAATTCGCGTTGTAGGATCACCATTGGGCTTTTTGTTAGCAGATGCAAAACTGGAAAAAAAAGATCGATTAAATAAATGATCAGTCAGTTAAAATTTTGCTGTCACTATATTGAAGATAGTTTAACGGTATAAGAAAAATAGGATGAATAGGATAATTGTTTGAACATATTCAATAACCTTTGTTCAACAATTACATTTAATCATGAATAATAACTAAGTGATAGTACAACATTTTTAAATGTTCACTTGAGAAGAATATCCCATAGGATAACAAAAAGAGGCATCAATATAAAATCACCGACTGGCCAATATACTAACTTCCACAGATATAAAGTAAACTTGAAGTCCTGGCTCACTTACTTACTCCTGTTACCCCTCGTGGAGGAGCATAGGCCACCCATTAGCATTCTCCATAGAACTCTGTTTTGAGCAATCCTTTCTGGTAATTTTCAGTTGCTACTCATCATTTAAATATCTGTTCCCAATTCCTAATGCAGTGTGCTCTTCCTTTTGCTGATCGGAAGTAAACTAAATAGTATCCTTGAAATAGTGAACCGATTCAAGTTAAATCGACTTTGAAGACCTGGAAGCAATGGACATCTATTTCATCCTGGCATAGAACTCTTCGGCAGTACACATTCACCACCCCACACCCGAGGATCAAACCAAAAATCATCGGTTTAGCGTATAAACCCTTGACCTCTAAACCACTATACCCGGATCCAACGATCTTAATGTTTAACCTCAATCTATATGTTGTTATTTTTTTCATTGAATTCTGTATACCATTAGAAGTTATAACATAAACACAATCAAATATACTGGTAGTACAAAATACATACTACCTATTAACTCTTAATTAATGAAAGTAATTTATTATTCGACTCGTATCAAATTTCTTTCTTTTTTATTTTGAATTAGTAACATGTTAGTCTCTACTTTAGAACAAACAAAAAGGTCAATATACTTTAACATAAATATACGTTAAACTGAGTTTAATAAAGTTTTCTTTAGAAAAAAAGGAATCACAACAAAACATACAAATTCATTGTTCACTTTTATTCTTTTCTCTTTTTCTTTTTGGAGTATTTCAGATTAAATTTCAATTATAACTTTCTATATAGATAAAAAAAAGGGAAAAAGAAAACTGAATTAATTAGTTAGTTAATAATGAAATCATTATTTATCATTATTATTATTGCTACTAATGAGAATAAGTTATATTAGTTTAATTTAATTGAACACACTTCCAATGTATAATAGTTAGTAGTATATTAGTTTAAGTATTATTGTTTAATATTCATTGGGGTATGATAAAGTTGTATAATTTGCAACTGTTTCTTTTTTGTATTCTATTTTAATTTATCTAATAATTATTTTGGAAATAAAAGATCTATTTGTCGAATATATAATGTGATAAATAATGAAATGCCCTTAAATGCCCTGGTATGACTTAGGGTGGAGATAGTTAGCTCTCCCTATTGAAATGCTCTCAAATAGCCACACATATACAGCTACTGCCATGGTAGTCCTACTCACTGCCTTCTCATAGGGGTGGTGGTGTTGTTTTGCGAAATTGAGAGGATGGAAAGTGAATGTCCAGCTGTTTGAATCGAGTTGATGGACATGAAAGATTCACCTAGGGGAGTGGAAAAAACCCTGATTTCAAACCAATGCTGCACATGGGCTCCAAGATGCTGAAGGAACAAATGGAGTATGAACCAGTTATTGGTCACCGGCTATCATTGGACTGAATTTCCTGACGTTGCTCCATTGCCTTGTGGATCAGACCTTTAAGTTGAAGGCTTCGGACGTGGCCCCCTAAAAACACCTACTTCCGTCTAGGCACACGAGGACTATCACAGCCCACACGAAAATCAAGTGACATGTGTAGCACATATGTATTCAGTGCCCCTTTTTACCAATATTTATGTGTTCAAATAAATAAATAAATAAATCAGATAATGAAATCTGTATTTTATCATTCTATTTGATAGTAAATAGTTAAATCAACATAGATGTAATGAAGCTATTCATGAGTTGTTTTTATCATTGTGGAGAAACTGACTCCTCTTTAGCGTAGTATAAATTCGATCAATTATGTTGTAATACATATACCTATTTATACGAATTGATATTACAGTGCACTTTGTTTTGGGTAAGATAGTTAGAAATTATTATCCAAATATTTTCATGGCTTATGATTCATTAACAAAATACGACTGAAATTTTGGAAGATGTGATTTTGTCATTGAAAGACGAATACGCATCACATGGCGTCAGTCAATCGATAAGATTTATTAAATACAAAAGATTAGGTAATATAAAGGTGGCTAATGCTGAGTGATTGACTAGTGGGAATATATCTGTTTTACATGAAAGCCATTGAGATCAAGATAGCTTCTTGGTAATTTCAGTTAGAAAAGTATCGTGTTATGTTAACAGTTATAGATAGGTTTTCCTAGCAGGCGTAAACTTGGGTGCAATTTGAGTTTTAGGTTTCCTTTAACTGCCATCAACAAGATAACATTGTACTATTAGTTTTTATTCAGTCTGATAAATTTCACAGTCAATCAGTAAGATCAGGAGTAATCTAATTTCGTGAAATATATGAGTCAAGGTTATCTAACATTTTATCATCACGGACGGAATTCTGATTATCCATTGGAGGTCTGTGAAGCGCACCAATGACTGATTAATAACAGTCCACGTCCTGATTCTGTGTTTCACCAACGGATGCTAATATGTTACTAAAATGATCCTAAGTAAATGGAATATCATAGGAAACAACAAAGTTCAGAAAAAGAAAACTGAGCAAAATCTTCACCTTTACAGTAGCGTCTAATTATTAGAGCAAGTTTTTGATTTTTATCAATAGCCTGAAAGAATAATGAGAATCTTTTGTGATTTTATAGACCTTTCCAACCAGAAGTCAGTATTTATATCATTATTAGTAGGAGGTTTATTTGTCCAGTTGTTGGTATTAGGGGCTGAGTTGCAATCAGTATTTATTGAAATATGTTGATCTCGTGCACGCTGCCTCGATATAGGCATCATGTCACATGTTGTTAAGAATTTTTGCGTGAACACCGACATTAAGGTACAGGTGTATCCAGCTGAAGAATCCTAAACAGGAAGAAACGCGAGTTATGGATCCTAATGTTAGCAATAACCTATCTATTATAGACAATCCCCATAACCTAAATCACGGATTGATCTTAGTTAAAATGTCTTTGAAAACCCGGAGTAGTGGATGGCTGTTTCATCCTCATCTAGGACTCCTCAATAGCAAGCATCCACGATCCTGTGTTCAGGAATCGAACCCAGGGTTTTCGGTCCGGTGTACAAACCTCTGATTCCCATTCCAATACATAATATCACAGACTGATTGAAGTTGCACACTAAGAACGTTGGATCCCGGCTTGGCAGTTCGGAGTTAAATGTTCACGCGCTATACCGAAGAGCTTTATTTTGATTCTCTGATATGGAGTCTTGAAAGGGCACTGGTGAGGTGTCCCATGCCAGAATAAAACGGCTCCTCAGTGCTCACGGGTCTTCAGCGACGCGTTAACTAAGATTGTTTTGTAATTCAAACTATGAAAATTCTACTATCTCCATCAATCCCCCTGAACGACCCTGCATAAATTGGTACTACTTGAATGATTACTGATAATTAGTAAGTAGTAAAACATATACATAACTCCACCTATTCAAACCTGGATGTAGACACTGATCAGTAATTGAAAATTCATACATTAAATAACTCCCCATGCAACTAGTATTTTTACATTATGTGAGCTATTACCATCATAAAATATTATCTTGGTTTCATCAGTACATTTGATAATTGTTGTTCATGAGTTGCTGCTAAATGTTTGTACAAAACGTCATTGATCTGTAAAACATTCACATAACTAATGCTCGTTTATTTTAAGATTTCATCCTTCTGCACTTTTACTCTTACTCAATGTAGATTGCTTTTCTATTTTTCTAATGCATACTCAAATACACTTGTATTAATTACTTTTTTTTAAATATTCTAATTTAGGCATAAATTTACACATCGTACCATTGGAACTTGATGTAAATAAATCAGCTGATTTCATTATTGGTATTATCCTATCCACACATTATGATATCATGTCGATTTATGTGAATGACAAAAATCAACCTACTGTCAAACGACCAGCATCGTCACCTTCACAATCGATAATGAACCAACTAGTGCAAATTAACAAACCGCTATATAATCATACTAATGATATTGTATCCAAACATACTACTACTACTACTAATGATCAAACAACAAAGAATATTGTATCAAACAATCAAGGAACCCATCTAAATACTGATCGAAATATTCAAATCGGTATTATTGGTCTAGGTAAATTGATTAATTATTGACTCGATATTTTTTTATAGAAAAATTTTCATCTTTAATTGATTTTTCTTGTGTGGGAAAATCTATTATTCTACTACACACATGTTTATTGTTATTCGTATGGCTTCAATCTATCAACATCATTCATTGAGTAATTTCAGTAGCTTCAACAATATTCGTGTGTAACAATTTTCGAACCCAAGTTTTTGCTATTGGCTGTTTTGAATTATGTAATAGTTCCTTTTGGATAATCTCTCTTTCATTATCAATTTAATATCAGATATAATTTTCCAACTACTTCGATAAATTACATAAAAGTGTGGTGATATAAACATAATTTTTGTTGTCGGTTAGTTTTATCGGTCAGGAGAGACAATTATTTTTTCAAATGTCAGTGTTCTTACTACATAGGTTTCTTCCTCAAGGCTTAATGGTTACATCTCAATAATTATTACAGGGAACGAATTTTATATTAAGTAAATGTCAAAAGTGACTGGAATGATTATCAATCTATAACAGAATGTCAATAATTGATTCTAACAAAACTCATTGTTTAATTGATAGATTATCGTACTAATTCAGTCAATAGTTCTATTTCTGACTTTTTTTATCAGAATACTATGAGAAGATTAACTATCATATTAAAAAGATGAATTTGCAAGATCAGATAGGATAATGATAAGAGTTCTTGAGTGTTTGATCGCATAATTAAGCTATCAGAAGGAATTTTCCAATTCATGGGAATAAAAGACGAATTATACTAGGTTAAACTAATTAGTTTAAAACAAAGCTGATAGTATCAACTATAGAAGATTATTATGAGGTTGAATAAGGTCGACATTAAATCCTGTTTGACTAAGTTCTCCTGCAAGATGGCACTCTTCAACAAGGCATGTCTAAAACCATGAGAGAACTAATACTCCCTGTGAGGTTTGAAAGCATTTCACAAAGCATTATGCTCTGAAACATTATCACTTAGCTATTCGGTCCTGTAATGACCTCCTGTGGGTTTGAGACTTTAATTTTAAAAATTGTTATAACCAGGTTATAGGAAAGCTGATGGAATAACTTGAACAGGTGCAAATATAATCTAGGTTCTGCATTTTATATATCTGACTGTTTGACCGATAGAATAAATAGGGGTTTTTAATCATAGTAAAGTATGATTGGTAGAGTTTTCCTTATGAAAAAAAAAATCAGGTTTCAAGTGTTTCATAGATGAAGTTTCTGTCTATACCAGAATGGTATACTTGATTACTACCTTGTATTTTATTTATCTACATGATAACCTCAAATAGATTGTAAAATTTACAAGATCAATATCATGAAAGATCTTAGTTAAATGTAAATTAAATAACTCCATCTCTATCGTTGATTTATTTTTCTTTCTGTTGTATCGATACTTTTCTCCTTTTTCGAAACAGGTCCAATCAGTTTAACTATTATACGTCAATTAGAAAAATTTAATTATAATATTCGTGTATTTGATAAATATTTACCTGACGGAATTGACACTGTGCTCAATTTAAATTATATAAATAATCATGAAGAAATTTTACATGAATCTGATTGGATTATCTTTATACAAGAAGCGAGTATTCTAAAGGATTTGAAATTATTTGGAAAAAGTGATATCTATTCTCCGTTGACAGTGAATGAAATATTTAATGAGAATATAAAAGCTAAAATAAAAAGTGGTAAATTAATATTCTCGAATATTTATATTAATCAGAAAAGGGTTTCTGTAGATATTGTAGTAATTTTTATAGTTGAGGTCATGATTCAATTGAAGATAGGCCACCATGGAAAACCCGAAAGCACTGGATGGCCGTTTCGCCCTATTGTGTGACTCTTCAGCAGTGCGCATTCAGACATTAACACCATTGGGTGCCGGTTCAGTGGTCTAGTGGTTAAGTGCTCGTGCGTGAGACTGATAAGTCCTGTGTTCGAATCTCGCGAAGTTGGATCGTGGATGCACACTGCTGAGGAGTCCTACAATAGGACGAAACGGCCATCCAGTGCTTCCAGGTTCTCCATGGTGATGTTGCTTTAATTGACTGATGAATTCAACTATTAAATTCATATACATACATTTAATACTAGATACTTTATTTTCTTCTCAGTTTTAATCTGAACATTAACATTGAGATCCAGATATATTTAGTTGGTGAATCTGAAATAAGACAAAATAAGTATCCAGGACTTCAATGCTAGACTTGAATAAATATTTCATGAAAAAAACTCACTTGAGATTAAAATAAGGAAATTTTATATTTATGAATTGAATGAATACATACTATATAAAATCCACTTTGGAGTTTTGTTAAGTACTATATTATGTATTTCAAATTTTATTAAACCACCCTTTGGTTTTTGAGTGATATCATGGTTCGGAATCTTCCATTGGCATTATTCATACCATTATTGACATTGGTAATCATAAAGATGTAAGAGAGTCACAAATAACACATGCATTATCAAATTAATGATCTAACTTCCACTGTTGATGGTTTAAAAAGAATGTATACGACAAAATGAACTCTTTTAATGTTGATTAGTTATTTTAGTAAATGTTTACTTTGGTAAGACATTTATGTCATTTTGCGTCAAAATTACATTTAAAGAAAAAACAGTTGTATACCGTCTCAGAGGTTTTAGGGTTAGGTGCTTATCATGAGACCTGATAGTCGCCGGGAAGGTCATGAATACACACCTCCAAGGAGTTCCATGCTAGAATGAAACATTTATTCACTGTTTCATGGAATGCAACCGTTTCCCAACTAATATCAGCTCATGATGTAAAGTCCTCTATATGAATAAGAATCATGTGTCTGCAAAGTCACTTTAGTTAGTGGTAGTAATTGTGTTCTAAATACTGACTTCATGATACGAATCTTGATATTTATGTCGAGGACTGTGGTCACTGTGGTCAATTAAGTTAAAAAAACCAGTTAGTTATTCCTAGATGGTGTTTTGTAAACATCGAAGTACTTTGAAAATTTACTTTATTTAGAAAATATAACCTGTAGGAAGACTTTGACTCAGTGATTTAATGATATTGTGGTTTTTGAGGAAGCAGGTGTTCCTAGGTTTGGTACAGATTGAAGAGTATTCAACATGTGTTTCATCACAGTTCCTATTTTTCTGTGATTCTCTAGTTATCATCGTTTCTTGATGAAAAGTACTTTTACATAAGTAGCTGTCATACTTTCTGAAAATAAAACAAAAACTGGATACGCTTTATTCAGTCATCTTATAATCCAGTATATGGGTATATCATAATTTTCCATCTCCTTTCATTCCAATTGATTCAATACGTTTTAATTATCGTTTATACTACCTTTATATTTTAGTTAATTCCCCTACGGACTTTCTGAGATTTGTTTAAACATTATTATATTATGTTTCATTTGAATCATATTAATACAATCATTACTGATGATAGTCTCTTAGTCTAAGCATAAAAATTAACGATTTAATAACACATTTCATAGAATAACATTTAAACATCACTTAAATTCTTGAAAATTGTAGGATGTCATATATTATACATTAATCTGGTTGACGATTATCCACATGAAGTAATTACATTGAATACACTTGCTCACTCTGGACATGTAGCAGACATCTATGTATTATTAAGGAAACCATGTGAAAAGTTAACTAGTAAGTGTATATTGAAATTTTTATTCTGATAGTTACTGTTTATTATTTTTTACTGTTTTCAGTTATTGTTATCATTATGACATGATTTCAGTGTACTAATATAAATGTACTTAGTAAGCACTTAGTAAGAATAGATGAATTATGTCTAGCATTGAAATTCAGCGTGCATATTTGATTTTATTTGGAACTCCCCAACTAGATGTACTTGCACCTCAGTGTCTGTGTTCGGATTGAATGTAACTCAAACTAGGTATCCTTCGTTTCAAACTCAAACGTGTTATTCTTTGAGATACTGATCAAAGATAGTCGGTAAATTGCTGAACGAGTACATTGTTCATACCACTAGTAGTAAAGATTTAAATTAGCTTGTTGTTGATACTGAGGACTGAATTCTGATTAGCTTTGTTATGGGGGTTGACACGATATAGCCATTTCGTCACGTATTATTTTGACTGCCTGGTAATTATTAGTTCAATGAAGGGTTAATTGTTTAATAAATTTATCTTGGATGTTAACTTGAATCGTTAATCCATTCAGTCATGAAATCACTTATTCATAGTCATTATTAGAATTTCAATATGGATTTTGATTTTTTCCAAGACTCATTAGATTGATGTACTTACGTTTCTGGTAATGTGAATATTTATAGTTCTGATAAGAGGCAGTTATCAGTGAGTTTTAACTGTATAATGTAAGGCCGTTGAAAGATAGCAAAGCGATATCTTGAGATAATTGAATGTAGAAATGTACGAGATTGAATGACGTTAAGCTCTCATCTCAAAACCAAGGTTTTCCAGGTTCGATTCCTGAGTGAGTCATTAATTTTGATTGCTTAAGAGTCCCATATTAAGACAAAACGCTCGTTCAGTGTTTCCTGGTTTACAGTATTTGTCTAAATAATTTCATTTTAACCTCTGTGACAATATAGCTGTATAGTACTCTTTAACTCTCGATGTCTTTAAACGAGAGTGGTTAATAATAAACGTTGTTTTTAAATTAATTTATCCCTACTCTAATTGTTTAGTTGTTTTTTAGCTAAATTTCTGTAAGATAAGCTTGTTTATACGTACTGTGAGTCATATATTTAATCCTTAGGATAATCATGAGGAATTTCTTGTATACAGTCTGTAAAAATTTGTTCACTATTTAATTAATCGGAGTATACGAAACCAGAAAGTAACAATACCTCAGTACATGAAATATTTACTTTGTATAATTAAAGGTTAAGTACTTTTATGATCCAATGTTGATTCAACTTTTATTAAAAAACAAGATGATTTTAATTATACCTTCCTTCTTGAGTAAGAATTTTAAAAAATAATCTGTTTTCTTTTGTGAATTAAACTATCTTACAATGAAATGAATTGTATTGATAATAAAATACTTGAATCAAACGTTAGTCTGGAGTTATCGACACCATATACATCAGGTATCTTTAAAAGTTTGATTTCTAATTAATTTAACTGGTTATTCAGCAATCGTTCCTTAATTCTACTGCTATAATACTTAATTCATTTGCATTCAGTATTTATAATTATTCGATAAATCACTGTTGACGTTGAATACAACGAAATAGGATTGAAAAAAATACTAACTAAAAAGAATAGATTATAAACAAATCTAGATAAGTTTAAGATATTCCCTCTTTTATTATTCTGAACAAGGTTTATTAAGTATACAATTAATAAGAGTTAATAACCTTTGGAATTTCTCTGAAAGTTGGATTTATTTGTAGATTTCGTGATAAATATACGGCAAGACCATTATTTATAGACGAACCAATCAGATTCACAATAACAAGTCTTGGATGTCGGCACGATATTCTTTATAAATTCAGCTAAATAGCGTCTTGACATTTTAGCTGATGTCACTTTGGGATAGAAGCCCTAAATCTAATTGCTATCCCTAACCATCAACTGTAAATCACAATCCTTATACTTCACACAGATTTAAAACCCTCATTTAGCTCTAGTCAGTAGGTGAACATTCTCAAGGCCAGTTTAGCGTCGCCCAAACGTCGTCCATAAATTACAGTCATACCCATGTTGGAAATTTAAAATGTATGAATCAGATCATAAATATAAACAATAGTATTTTTTAATTGAAATCTACAAAAACGAGGAAGTAATCACCTTTTCATAACAATTCTGATGTTACTTAATGAGTAGTCAAAGCTTTAACATCATTTGTTTTACTTTACAGATGAATTCAATATTCAACAATCATCAAATTTAATTTGTTTATATAATAAACTCAATAAACTACAAGTACAATCAAAAGAATTACGTAGAAGTATGAGTCAATTTGTTCGGAGAAATTTGCTTAAAAATTTGATATTTATACCTAAAATCAATGAAATAACTCAAACTGATGTGTATAAATATAAAACTGAACCACAATTTAAAGTAACTTTGAATAATCAAAAAATGAGCACATTGAAGAAAAATACAAATATACATCAAAAAATACGTAAGTTTATTCATGATATTTATGAATTCACTTGATAGTTATAATTAGAAGTCTTTTTTTATCCGTCCTAGTGACTAAGATAAACTCACTGGAACTGTAGTGAACAGAACACCGGTGGGGACAATCGAATGTATTGAACACGAAATTACAGGACTTGTTAATAAAATCTAACAATCATAAAGTAAATGCTTAATTTGAAAAGTGTCCACCAATTGTCTCGAAATGACTCGGACTTCATTGTTCTTGCATTTTCATACAAATTGCATCCTGCTTCCATTCTTTGCTGTTCGATCCTCTTGTCTCTCTGCTGCCAGACCTTCTGTTCACGACTAACATCATATACTACTTATGTCAATATAAGTAGCACACACCACAGAACTATTTAAAATATAAAAACTACGTATAAATAAAATCAGTGCAATAAAGAATTCAAAATACTATAAATATTATTCATTTGGTACTATTTACATGTTTCTTCACATATGCCAACAAGAACTTAATCAATTGTAGTCCTAAACAACAATGAGATGATACCAACCAACAATACCAAGTGAATTTAAACTTCACCTCATTTCACAAACAAATGGTTAACAGGACTCAGTAGGTAAATTGACTTTGTGGTGGCGTTTGAAGTGAACGGTACTGAGTTCAAGTCCCGGAGTAAACATCAACTTTAGAATCCATGTATATCCAGATGACGAATCTTAAATAGGGCAAAAATGTGCGCCCTGGATTCCACTGCTAGTCACCATCCATCATTATTTATGATGAATATCAGTCTAAAATGGTCAGCTACTTTTATGTTTTATCTAATTAATATAAAAATAAATATAATGAACACGATTATCCGTGCTATTCACGAGTTGATTATTACTTAACATTTATTTCAAGGGTTGAACATCTACTGGTAATATGTTTGTGTATTACATTCAGGATTTTAACTAACAATGGACAGTTAACAAACATTTGCTGGTATATACTTAAATTGCTTGAAGTCATTCAATTTTAAAAAAAAAACATTGATAATCGGCTATTAATATCATAATTAGTCAAATAATGAAACACAGTTACATGATAAATTTGAGTTAAACCTTGAAAATAGATTTTATAATAAGAATCATTGATGATCAAAGAATAATTAGATTTATGTTTATAACGTAATCTCTGGCTGTTTTTAGTCATGCAACTAACTTCTTTCTAATGAAGGTAAAGTTTAATTTACAGATCAAAATCATATAAAATTGTGTAGCTTTTTAAATGAGTAAGTCATTTAACCATAAGTAACTTAGGACCTGTCATATGTGTACATTATTAAAAGTCAATTCACTACATTGGGACAGTGAGATGGAATTATGTAGACAAATGCTAGAGTAATGGGAGAAACAATCGTATCAATAATAGTAAAAAATATTAGACAAAGACAATATTATTAGAGAGGAAAGAATATATTCGTAGAATAAGAGCGTATTATGATTTGAAACATCAAGATCTAAGGGAAGACAAAAAGTGAATGAGTTTGTGTCATTAAAAAGGTCCGAGCCATATCAATGATAGTCTCAAACTATTAGTCACGATAGTCATATGAACTCTAACCAGCTAACCTGAGCATACTAGTGCATCTCAGTCCAACTGTTAGTAATTTTGTATACTAGTGGTACGTTTTGGTTTGGTCATCTCTAGATTCTCCCAACCGCTACTCTTGCATCATTCGATATCGCAAATCAACATACACTAGGTGAGAATATGTGATATACATCCTAACCACCTCAATCGATGAGGATTTACTGTCTGATCAACCGGACTATTATTATTATTTAGTAGTCTACGTTTAACCTCGGTATTGCCAAATCGGTGGCCATGTCATACACAAGCGAATTCCTGAAAGCATCTTTAATCAATTACTAGTGACTTACGACAACTCTTTACTTTTAAAAATCACGTTTTACAGCTATGAAGTAAAACATAACGAAATACTACTCAATAAACTCGTCCTTTGGTTGCTGGATAGACGCCTAGATGACTAGAAAAAAATTCTCTTCACTAATTTAAATGATCACTACCTGATTTTAACACAGTTACTATAATTACACTGGATTTTGTATCCTCCCTTAATATTATTATTATTATTATCATCATCATTGTTTTGTGTCTATTTTTTTTATTTACAGCACTTCATGGGATAAAAAAGCATCTAACATTTGGTATCAATTCATTAGTAGCTCCAAAAACTTTGAAATATTATCCTACTCACTGTGGATAACCATAAATTAAACATATTCATTGATGAAGAAGATTTGTAGCTCAGGTGGATGATTTTGATGAAGTTTTGCTCTCTAAGCTGGATGGTTTGGTCATGGAGCTTTCATCGTTCTTCTGAACGACATCATCAGCACAATGCACCACAACCAAATCATCTAGCTCAAAGAACAAAACTCTATCAAAATATTCATTGATCATTAAGAAAAAAACTGATTGAAAATCTATGTATATACATATATGATCATCTATACAAATTATCATTTGATTCCAATAATAAACTATATATATATTTGTACATAATTGACAGATATGCTTGTTGTGCAATGTCATTTATAAATTATATTGTCTAGAATTGTCTAGTGATATTTTCTTCTTCCATGTTAATTGTATTTTGTTTTTAAGAGAAAAATTCTTTATTACTTCATAATCAATCTTTATCAGTGGTAACCAGTTATCATTCATCCATGAATAAAGTCCTACTTTAGTTCTTATTTGTGTCCAATCAATATTTTGACGATACTTTATTAAACATGCAAATTATTCAATATTATTGACTATTATATATCATTTTATTGTATTTATTATTGAAATTAAATATGTTTACTTTTTCATTCTTATCTACATCTTCATTTTATAATATGTTTTTGTTTTTTGTTTTGATGTAAAGACAATTCTTAAATGAAAGTTATTCAATTCTTTCTGTTTTAATTGTGATAAATATTTTAGTAGGGCCCTTTATTTTCTCATCAATTAGATCGGATGATGTTGTCGATGAGCTCATTACTTTAGTGGTCCAGGATTTGACTCTAATTAGATCGTATGAATGTTTGCTGTCGAAATATATATCCTGACTATTCTCGTATATCTTTAACGAGTTAATCCTCGTTGAGTGAATAACGGAATTAAATAAGTCAAATAACGAGAATGGACTTTTCAATACATATATTTTGTATATGAAGCAAATGGAATAGAGTGAAGTCAAACGACGCTCAGTGGATAAGGCATGTGAGCCAACTTAATTTAGTCAAGCGTTAATCAATGATTATAGTTACACAAAAATAAGTTACAGACATGTGATGAATAGGACAAGAAGTGTACACATACATATGCGCTTATGTAAAAACCGTCAAGATTGATAAGCGAATAATTAACAAGGTCAAAATGTGGCTCAAGTAGAATGAATAGATTGGCCTGTCCGAAAGCTAGAATAAAGTATATGGGCTTAATATAATAACCGACACTACAATATTTTATCTAATTGATAGTTATATATGAAGAATATTTGATATCATTATTCTGTTAAGATCATAAACAGATTTAATTTTAGTCCATACTACTCATGTATAAACAAGAGATCATGAGTTGAAAATTTATTTTATTCGTATAAAATTGATGTAGTGTTTATTTAGTAAGGTTTTTTTCCAGGATAGGATTGTCGATTTCATGCCGAACCCACCTTGTTTACTCGGGCTTAAGACTCGCAGTTACCATGGTAGGGCTCAAGGTGTAATTTATATCTAAAATATTTCTTGAACAATTTTGCTATTATTAATACTGGTTACTATTAAAGTCTAGTCGATTAATGGTAGTTCCAATTTTGTGAAAATATGCTAAATCATAAATTGGTTGAAACTGCAAATATGGGCTATTCAATACTGACTTCGTTGTTTATTAGCAATATATCCTCTTCAAGATGATAAACATTCTAAACTAGTACTCATGGTGCTTTATATGTATCTCAATGTAAATATAAGCATTTCTTTTGATATTTTTTCAAACTGAGGATGTTTTTCTATGGTACTTAAAATGTGAATCAAGCATGTAGGTTTCATATTGTTAAGGGCTTGTTATTGAAACATACTTCCATCTATTCACATTTTAAACTTTCTAACAGATATCGACTCAAACACACATCAGTAAAGAAGAAACTTACATATTGAGTCATATTAGCAAATTGTAGTACCAGGAGTTTTTAGTCGTTGATAAGGCTTAATGTGATTTTGTTATTAAGTTTCCAAGAAAAAAGATGTTAATACTTTACCAAAAAATCAATTCTACTATACTACTACTTAGAAACATCTTGTAACTAGGTAATAAGTCAAAATGAATATGGTTCTTTAGAGAAACAATGTATTTCTAATGAATATTACTGAATAGTGTTTTATTAGAATGTAAAAGTTGTCAATTGCTCTCTTGTTTTACAGTAGTAGTTTCTACATTGATTTTAATGTATAGCAAATATCTTTAAAAAGCAAATTCTACGAAAACACTGAGTAAATAAGAACTTCCATAGAAGTTGCTTTCATGTTAATCTAGTTTTCAGATTGTTTACACCTTGTTTTTGTTTGGATAACTAAGTGTATACTCATTACAATTGTATTATGGTTATACAGACTATCAATGAATTCTGATAACCTGTATCTAAAAGAAACATTATTCCTTCATAATCAAGGTCATTTGTGTAAACTATTCATTCTTTTATAGCTCATTATTAACGGGTCATTTAATTGTGATTGAAAATTTAACCTTTAAATTTTCATCAGTTTATTTGACTAAATAATTAATTGATATGTTGAATATATGTATATATGATACTTCTCTTGACTTCTGTTGTATATTTTTTTATTATTTCACTTACTCGTATTACATCAAAGTTGATTAGGTGTTCAAAAAATAAAGTAGATATGACTTTATAAAATATGTAACAAACTAAATAAATTAAAAACGCTAACCTTTTTACTAATTAGATGATTAAGAATAAGGTATAAAGTAATAGTTTTCGCATGAAATCATAGGTCGACAGATGTCAATCAGTACTTCTTATTGAATTCATATTACTTTTTCATATTTTGCGGGTTTGTGTTAAAATAATGATGAGTACGTCAATTAAGTAAATTATCTGCAATATATTTGAACTTTGGGAAATTCACATTCTCAGTAATATTTCGTTTCGGTATACTACTGTATAAATATACTAGAAGCTCATGATTAACGTTTCACTGCTACTATGAGATATCCCTAAACTATTAAATTTTTCGTCTGAGAAAGTACACAGCATTCACTTTTAATTTCAAATAAAAAAAACTTGATATTAAGTAACAGTTTTTGACAATATTTCTGAAGTATTCTAGTCAATGAGTTGTATCAATTCAAGGCACATAAAAAACTTTTTAGTTAAAGATGATATCGAATCAATTTTCATCATGAAATTATATCAGTTGGAAAACGTTGAAAATTATGAATTATTGAATAATTGCTTGACACAAGTTAGAGATGCTACCATACACTACTTCATATAGGATTGAATCTGGAGTATTATAATATTTGAAAGTATTTGAATTATCGTATGAACTAGGAATCCCAGAATTAACGCAATCGAATCAGAAAGTAATAGATGAGCACAAACGAATGTATTGTATTTAGAATTTTAAATCGAGCATTCAACAAGTACAAAGGTATCATTATTTCATTCAAACACCACATCCTCCATAGCTTAAATAGGAGTATAATGTCTGTAATCGGTTGTACGTCTTCTTCTTAAGTTCATCCTTAGTCTGTCCGACATTGTATTGTATAAAAACTCGGCATTATCTGGAACTGTACACAATCAGCATGTCGGTTTTGTACTGAAATCATTAATATCTAGAATTTGAACCATAGATTTTTCAACACTATCCTCCCCCACGAAACAATGTTGGATTTCTATATCCCCAAGTTATGAATAATGTGGCTTCATTTAAAACATATTTCTCACATTGATTAGAGGATACATTGGAAATGAATTTGTGATAGGATGAACAGCAGTTGATATGAAATAATCTGAATTGTAATCGAAACGAGCTCATTTAATACTCGTTTTGGCTTGAACAAGTTTCCCACAAGCAACAAATGCATTATGAGGACAAATAATATTTGATAGAACATTACGATTTGATTCTTCTGAAATAGTTTCCTCGCATTTATTGAGAATGTCATTGCAGAGAAAAAGACCACTAGAAAAATCAGCATCTATCAAGACTGCCTCAGGTTTTTTATCATGACTGGGTTCATTTAACATATTTTCCTCAGATTTGCAAGGAATTTCGTCAGAAATAAGTGAATTATTAGGAAAAACCATATCTGGTACAATAATATGAGAAATCTGATAAGTTGGTTGATTAGGAACTGTTGTCCCATCTTCGTGAAATGTATTGCAACTCCTCAATGAATTATCTGCATAACCTTGAGTATGCACTGGGTTGGGATGACGTAATGCAGTGAAATTTTTTATATCCTCATGAGTCACTCTACAAAATCTTCCTTTATTGCGTTCGAAATTTGTATACTTAACATAGTCTAGCAGCAGTTCCTTGAGAGTTGTATAGGTAAGCGAGATAGGCTTTTCCGGCATAGCCAGAGTTCTTAACAAGCTATATGCTTTTTTCCGATGAATGTGAGGAAATGTGCCACAATATTAACATCCTCAGCATCTTCCTTGGTCATAGCCCAGATTCGAATCTTTCAAAATAATCCTCAAAAGCACCAAAATCTGAATGTATATCCAACGATTCCATTACAGGATCTTGCTCCTGACGCCAGCATAATATTTGAAAGTATTTGAATTATCGTATGAACTAGGAATCCCAGAATTAACGCAATCGAATCAGAAAGTAATAGATGAGCACGAACGAATGTATTGTATTTAAAATTCGAAATCGAGCATTCAACAAGTACAAAGGTATCATTATTTCATTTAAACACTACAGGTATTACGGTCTCTTAGCAACCTCGATACCCTTAAATCATGCTGACAAGATAATATGAGCTAAATGGAGAATTAATACAGCTATTAAGTGGACTAGTTGTCTTATTACTTTTCTGTCGAAAACTCTTTGTTACACCAAGTGTAATTACTTGAATTGACAGTTGAGTTTGATCAAAGGATCTCTTAGCTTTACTTTATAAGATGATAGACATTTCCATACACTGATCAGAATTCATACAAAAAAACAGTGTTTAATT